ACACACACACTATTCTCTCCTGCATATCTATCTATCTTGATATTGATATAGCTATAGAAGACACATATATATACTTTTTTCTCCTGAATCTTATGTTATACACGCATGCATAGAGAGAGAGAGAGAGAGAGAGAGGGGCATATGTGTATGTGTGTGTGTGTGTGTATGTATACATGTGTATATGTATGTATGGATACATATATACATATTTACATATATATCCCAATTATTACATATATGTGTGTGTGTATATATGTATATATACGTGTGTGTATGCCTATATATATGTGTATGCCTATATGTACATACATCTGTGTGTGTGTATGCCCTTATATATGTTTATGCCTCTCTCTCTCTCTCTCTCTCTCTCTCGGCATAAACATATATATGGGCATGCACACACACACACATATATATTCTCTATATAGATGTATAAATATATATCTATCCATATCTATGTATTTCAAGATGTAGATTGGTTATAGATGTATCTATCTATATATTTAAATATATAGATATCTATGTATTTAAAGATGTAGATTGGTTTGGATCTTTTTGAAGCAGCCCCACGGGGTTTCCTTTGGTTCTTTTCTACTAGGAATAGCTGCAGCATTTCTGCCAGAGACCTGGCTTGGACTTCAGTGGGACATCTCCTGTCCTGAGCCACGGGATCAGGCTCTTACAAGTCTGAGGTTGAGCAGCAGTAGGGGAAAGCAGCAGTTGCCAGTCACTGGAAGGGCTGGTTAGTTTGCCCATGTAAGTCCCCACCCCACTGCTTGATGTAGACAGGGCCCGAAGGGAGCATTATGATCAGAGGACAGAACAAGAGCTGTACTTTCCTCTCCCCCCCTCCCCATGCCCCCTTTGAGCTCAGGTTTGGCAAACATTCATGAAGAATGGAAAGCTCTCTGCCTCTCTCCATTTACACGCACACCCACACAAACTGGGTTTCTCTCCATTAGTGCCTGTTTCTTATCGAAATGAACATGGATTCTCCTGCAAACTGACAAGTCCCACCGGGGCAGAGTTAATACCCCACCAGCCTCTAAAAAGGAAACTGTTGGCTTCCTCAATTGTGATAAGGGTGAACAGGATCCAAGCAAGGACAGCAAACCAGGGCTAATGTTTGCCCCGAATCCCCTAAAGATGCTGACAGTGTTTGCTTACCCAGAAGTAAATGGTCTCTCTCTCTCTCTTTTTTTTTTTTTAAGATGATTTAAATAAGTGTCTGTTTTCCTTTTAGTGGTTTACCAGTGGATCCAGGAGTCCCTCTGAAAGAGATCAGGCTTATGAACTGCATTGATCTTATCAAGTTGATCCTTCCCTTGGACAGTTTTAGATTCATTAGGGGGACCCTTACAAAGGCAGGCAGTGTTACGGGCAAAAAAAAGGGGGCCTTATTTATTTTATAGAGAGAGTGTGTGTGGTGGGGCATTTCCATTCTTCATTAATCTAAGCCTGTTTTCTTAGGATTTGTATGCATCCAGGATCCTCTTCTGGAGAGCTCAGTTGGGGGTAGTGGGGAAGTGAAGGGGAAAGCTTTCAGAAGGGACAAACTACCTTTTCTAAAGTGGAATTGAAACGACACTTGAGATGAGCATTTTTGATACCGTTTGTTTTGCTGAGCTTGATTGTTGGGGAGGGGGTACTTTCACTTTTTTTGTTGTTTTTTTTTCTTTTTGCAAAGTACTTTTGTTGTATGTCAAAATTTACACTAAAATCATCCAAAGGAGGGGGAGGGGGGAAGAAAAGGATTTATTGACATAGCTGTTGATAACAGCTCGTTCTTTTCTTATTTTTCCCTAGACACATAAAGGAAATATCAATGTAAAATGGTAAGGGAAAAGAAAAACTCAACCTTTGTAGGAGTTATGTTTTTTAATTGGTCTTTAATGTGCCACTGTAAATCAGTCTGGGTTGGGGTTGTTGTTTTTTTAGCCATTATTTTAGCCGACACAACCCTCTTCGGATCATTTATTTCTGTTTTTATATTTTTTTTAAAAAGCTATCCAGAAGTGCCCCCCATTCAAGCCGCCCGAGTCAAAGAAACTAACAAATAGAACATTATTATAGAAAAATGAGGGCTCTGAGAAATCAGCAACTGGAAGATAACTCTGTAACTAATAAAAGAAAAGAGCCTTTTGATGGCTCCAGCTGAAAAGATATTTTATTTTATTTTTTTTTCTCCTGTGTGTGGGATTTGAGATGTGTGATTCTATGGAGCAGCCAGGCACCCCTGCTGCTAGGCCCTGGCTAGGAGTTGGCCCCCCTCTGGCAAATGTTATGGAGAATTGGGAGGAATTTTATGGCTGTCTTTTCCCTCAGCTCTTTTTTCTTTTGTCTTCTTTGAAGAATGACTTTAGACATTTTATTTACATATTTAACCATGGATGAAAGAGGAAAAAGAAAGCATTTGGGCCGTTGTGGGAATAGTGATATGTTTAAATTAATGGAAATCTTATTAGGCCTCTAAAATTTTAAGCAAAAGGTTTTTAATGAAACTTTATAATTAAACATGATTTCAAATAATGTGCCAACTCGCAGGAAAAGAAGCATCTTCCCCTATACCTATCCCTCTGCCTCTAAAGTTGCTAGAGAATAATGTGCATCTCAAAGTCCTTTCCCATTTCACAAGCAAAAAAAAAAAAAAATAATAATAAATAAACGGAATAGTTAATAAGGCATGCCATAATATAAACCATAACTACAGATTTTGTAGATGTACTGCCGCATAAACAGGGTAAAAAAACCCCAAACCTGGAATAGCAAAGTTTGGACACTGTGTAATCTATTGCAGTGAACATATAATAAAATACTTTGATATGGATAATAATAAAAATCAAAGTTGCATGTATATTCTAACATTTTAGAGTCAATGGATGTTACAGTTCTAGGCAAGGTTTTCTGAAATGGGATTAAAGAAAACCTAAATAATCCCTTTCAGATAAAATGTTCTGACACTTCACAGTAAAGAGAAATTAAATGATAAGCTTGGAGAGTTACAAGTTAATTAATATATTAAAGATTTTCAGTAAAGCATTCATAAATTACCTACCATAACAACAAAGTCTACTGATATTAGTGAATCTAAAGTACAAAAAAGTCTTGGGCTGTGCTTGCAAATCATTTAATGAATCTTTTCTGGTTAGCAGTTGATTGAGGAAATACTTTATTTTTAAGATATAGTTGAATAATATTTTGTCCTCTGCTTCAATAATCCATCTATATTCATTTTAAGACAGGCAATTTTTAGTTTCCTGTGCCTGATACAGAATGAAGGCCTGTTACTAGCCTTCATTTTCATTTGGATAGCTAATTCTAAAGATAAGATAATAATAAAAAAACCCCAAAGTTATCCTTGAAGAAGATTGTGGCTTTAAAGGAAAAACAACAGCACACACAGAAAGGGACACTGTAACTATTACAATCTCTCTCTCCTGTTTAAGTCCCAGATAAGATATTGATCATGACATTAAATTGGATCATTTATAAAAAGTATGCAGCTAATGTTTATTTTTAAAACCAAACCAAGTTACGTTTTTTTTTTCCTCCTCTAAATCCAGACTTTCTCTAACTACTTTGCAACAATATTTAATAAACAAAACATGTCTGATTGGTAGGGGAGACATAGAGCAGCATATTCCCATGGAAGTACCGAATATTCACTGTGTGCAAAAGTTTTAATTACATTAAAAAAAACCCACACACACCAGGAGTAAGTAAAAGATTAAAAATCAAAAAACAAACCCCACATCATAAATGGATGAGTGGGTTGTATAGTGTGGCTCTAATACAATTTAGCCGGCTATTTTAAGGGCACTTCCCTTGAAATGTGGTTTGAAATATTACCAAAGGTTCGACGGGGTGCATTAGTGTGAATTGCAAATCAGAACATTTCTTTAATCCCCTTTTCATGGCCTGGCTTCGGATCAGTGGCATCTAAGGGACTCCCCACTGATCCTGGCTCAGGAGGAACCATTCACTAGGGCAGCTTCTCTGCTCTATTCCCACAGTCCAGAAAACAACACCACAGACAGACACCCTCCAACTAAATTAGATTAAACTCCTTCTCTTCCACAGCACATTAGCCTTTTCACTGCCCAAGATTCGTTATTCAGCTACTCCTAATTTTAAAGATACAGTATTTTTTCCCTCCTAGGAACAAAAAAGCAAAAATTCATCTACCCCCCGTGACTTGCAAAGCTCTCGTAAAAGTAGCCAAATACCATCCTTAGATATAATCCTTTAAAATTACAAGGACTTTTATCAGTTTAAAGTAGAGGCCACATTGCAGCATGTTTATCCAGAACACAAACGGGCAGGTCCAGTAAAAAGCATGCAAAGTTAGATCTCTGATATTCAACTTTATTTAAATGCCACTCATTGAAATGCCCAGTAATACAATAAAACAACAAACCTTATCACCCAGCAAAAATCTCTCCCATTTAATTAGTTTAGAAGTATGCTAAAAATCACTGTGACACTTGTGCAGTGATATTTGGTTTGCCTCCCCCCCCGCGTGCACTTTTTATGTAATGACTTCCAGCCAGATCTGGATTAGAGAAGGCATAACCACTAGTAAAACTTTACTTTGAAAGTGAGCTAATTAGATCCCTTCCAGCCTTTTCCATCCTCCATCCCCCCCCCCCCAAGTCGTACCCCTTCCCCCGCTTCCCTCATTACTTTTACATGTGTAGAGAGCTGGGTCCTTTGCTGTACTTGTTTACAATCCCTGACTCTCTGCCTGGTCCCCGAACACCCATGTGTACATGCTCACCTATACCCACATACATACCACAAAGGAGCCCCTAGCTAAATGCCACATTGTCCCTAAAGGTCCATCTGCCAGCTGGAGATTGCTGGAGCTTGTCATATCAACCACGTCTCTTGCTTCCCACCAGGGACTACAAGGAAGGACTCATAAAAACCAGTTAAAATTTTGGGAGCTTCTCTTTCATAGGAGCAGGGATTATATGGGTCTGTGGTTGTCTTTACCTTTGTGCCTGGTGAACAGAGCAAAGGGAGAGGAGAGAGGCAGAGGATGTGCCACTATTATCTCACCATCCTTTCAAATGGAGGAAATCTGTACTACAGTCATCATCGCCCCTTACCCTGTGCTCATATACCCTCTATATGTGTTTAAACCTCAAATCTTGGTCCCCTACTGACCTCGCTGGACATGGCGGAAAGAACGTGGCTGGAATATTTGTAAGAAGCCAGTCTGCTGTGAGCTGGTTCAATCATTTTCCTTTCGAGCTTCAGAATTAGGCCCTGAGGAGCGCTGTGTCTCCATGCTCCCAGCTGCAGTCACTCAGATTTTCAGCCTGGGCTATGAAAACCTGGGGTGGCAGATGAAAGCAGGCCAACGTGTGTGCCCAGACTTGCAAGAGGCTGTTTCAAGCTCAGGTAAGAGGAGATAACATCGGGCTGGAAAAATCAACGTTGGCCCTTTTGGGTCCCCCAGATTGGGGAGCATCTTCATACAGAAGATGCAGAATCTTTCCCTCTGTTGCTAGAAATTTGCACCTATCAAGTTTTCCTGTTGGTCTTATAGCCTGCTTGCGCTCTCTCTCACGATGTCTTTTAATTACCTCCCCAACGCCCTGAGCATCTTGGCACCGCTGGTGCAGGGAGGGACTTCTAAAAATAAAATGACGATAATAAATGCAGTTATTAGTACTACACTGTGGTCATGTCACATGTACTAGAGTACTATGAGGATACAGTATAGTCATGTTATATCTATACTAGAGAACAATGAGGGCTATTCCACGAATCCTGTGTGTCACTGGTGGGTGGGGCTCCAAAAGTGAGGGGCATTGTATTTGCTGAGTAATACAGAAACATCCTGTTTTTATTTCATGCTTACTCACAACCCATGCATGCAAGAATTCAACAGGAGATGTCATAAGTGGAGGCTTTCTTGTGAGAATTACAAGTCTCTGGATTTTATTTAAGCCAGAAATGCCCCGTGGACAGGCTTTCTCATAATGACTCAGAGCTAATTCTCCCTAGGTCAAGGGATTCGTCCAAGCACCCGACAGCAACTGGAACAGCACTATGCTGCACACTAGAGACAGTTTGGGATTAGGGAATTGGAGAGTGGAATTAGGGGGTATATCCACAGTTCACTGAAGGGCCATGGGAAGGAAGCAACGCATGAATCACATCAGCACCGTGCCACCACCAGCATAATGGGAATTCAAAATGGCTTAAGTCAAGTCCTATCTCTAAAATAGATTGCCCATTTGACTGTGGGCAAGCCATAATTTTAAAGTCTCTGTGTCTGCGTTCTGTATCTATGCAATCTTCACACCTCAACGGCCCTTTCCTGTTCAAAGGGATGGCAGGAGGTTTAGTTCACGAGGCTTCATAAAGCTCCAGTGGAGAGCACCATGTTAGTCTGGTGCGGCTAGAGCTGACCAGAGCCTGGCAGTGCTGAAGCAGATCTAGTAAAAATGAAAATAAAACTATTTTGCAAATTGACAAATGCTTCTACGTGGCTTAGGTTTTAGACACAGTTAGAAGAACCGCTAGAAGATTTACTTCACTAAATATTTCCCATGGAAAGTCAATGAGGATTAGCCTCCTAAATAACACCTACTTCTGAAATTTATCCTGTGTCCAAGGACACAGCACTGACTTTTCACAAACTATTTTTGTTTCAGTTATGGTTTATCACATTAGCAGCAGCCTTCATGCAACTGACTGTCCTCTTGTTCTCCAAATAAAAATATATTTTTACCTTGACATTATTTCTATGGTTCATTCCATCTCAGATGCTCCCTTTGAATTTTAACAAAGCCTCACCTTAGATAAGTCCCATAGAGCTTTCTGAGAACCATTTTACAGAAGTCCCTTGGAATTGTTGTATATCACCATAACAGTTACACAGGTTGGACTCAACTTTCTGTAGCAGCTTGATGAACGTGCATAAGATATTTTCCTGAAGTTTGTATTTTTTTTTCCTTTTGCAATCCAAGGACTTCCCATGTAGTCCCCAATGTCTTTTGAATGTCCTGACATATACCGCTGTTTATATAATGGAAGCCAGGACATTTTTTTTATTTGCATTGTTTTAAGTTAATATCACTTATAATCTTTACTAAGTCAAAACCATAAACGCCAGCACAGGCTGAGACGAGAAGAGGGTAGAGAGGT